TCCCTTTTCATTTTTGTGTTATTATATTTTAAAAAATTATTATCGTTCCGTATGTGTTTCAAAATGTCTTTTAAATTACTAACAACAAATATGAAAGACTAAGTGCAATGTTGTAACAAATTTCATTTCCGTCCAAGTTAAGAATGATTTGACTCATCGAACACTGCGCGAACGAACATAAACAGTGGCGTAATCGTCCGTTATCGACCGACTTCAGACTGATTTTGAATTTGTAAATTGTCATTGCAACGGACAGTTGACATTGTGCTCTGGAGGAAACAATTTGTATCACTCTTGCTAAGGATATAATTTGTAATATGGAATTTTTTGCATACCTTTTTAATATGTATTTAATTGCAGCTCGCAAAAAATTTCAAATTTTAAAAAATGGCTCAGACTATCAAGGAGTTTGGCCACCCTGGCTCTATAACAACACTTGCCTTTTCTTTTCCATCTTTATTTCTGTATTCATGTGTGTTGTTTAGGAGTTTCATCTCTCATCAGTATAGTACTTGTTTGTATACATATGTAAAATTAAGAAAATGTAAAACAAATTATGTAGTTCAAGTAATTTTACAATGAATGTAGTGCTTGCTGAAATTTCTCAGTTTGAAACATCCATATTGTTGATATTACTTTCAAAAGCCAGTCGATCATAGTGCCATTTTAGTGGTTAGGAGAACTTTGCTGCTTAATTTTTGTTGAGGTTTTCTGGCTATTATATTATAAATAACTTTTTTGGGAATTAATAATATAAGATCTGTCAAAGTTTCCTTAAAATTTTTAAAAATTTTAATAATTCCTGTAATGAATTGTTTATTATTATTATGCTTTTTTGTTTCTTTAAACTTATTAAAAGGTAGGTCATTTTAAAACTATCAATAGTTACAAATTCCTTTCCAGCTCTTTTTTCCTTTTCAATTATCCCACCATGTTCGTTTCTTATATTACTCTTCTGTGTATTTTTTTTTTTCTTTTTTTTTTAGGTGGCATTGTTGCATATAGGTGTTTTGTTTATAAAAAGTTTTTTTTAGTATGAAGTTACCTTTATGCTATTATTATTTTAAGTTGCATTATTATTTAAGCCTGCATTATTATTTAAGTTGCTATTTTTACAAATGTAAATACTTTGAAACATCCTGATACATGTCTTCTTCTCCAAGGCATGCATTTTAAAATATTATTTTTATTTATTTTACAGTTGATTAGTACAATGATCATGGAATGTGGAATTAGGTGTATTGTATTTAAATCTGCCCTCATGTTCTTTATATTTAACTAATATAGTTTTCATTTTGTTTGGCCAATTGTTTATTTCTGATTTAATGCATGTGTATTGGCATGCCACTTATTACATTTTGATTTTTCCCAATAATTTGTGTTGTGTTCTTTTGTTCTGAAATTTTTTTTTATTTTATTGATTCTTTTAAAGTTTTGTTGAGCAGATTGGATTGGGACTAATGTTATGTCATAATCAAATAAGATTTTTTTACATTTTTTTTTTTCTATTGAATGGGAAATGTATATAATATGTTGTCAATTTTATTGTTGTTGTTGGTGTTTATATTTTGGCCCACCAGTGGCCAAGTAGTCTTCGTTCCCTGGGAATTCAGTCGTGAGTTCGCACCTCGCTCGGATGGGCTGGCCATGTGGAGTTTTCCGGGTTTTTTCCACATCTGTAGCGCCTAAATAGGGGCCAGTTTCTTTTAAAAAGACCTCCCAGAAGGCATCCTAGGCAGATTGCCCAATTGTTTTGTTGCCATAACTAAACAAACATATTATTTTTTGTGATGATGGTTATATTTTTTTCCATTTTTTGATTATTAATTTGGGGTAATTATTTAGGTGCTTTTTCACTTTTTAATTTTAATATTAAAAAATTTTTTTAATAGTAATTTTTTAATATTTTTTAAATTTATGTGGAACACATTGCACTTTATAAATTGAAGTAGTAGTGATCTGTAGTTTATAACTTTGCTAATGTTGCATGGTTTTTTTAATGTTGAAAATTCTAGATTAATATAAAATTTAAGATATAATAATAAAGTAATTTTATGTATTGAATATTATTGTTCTCTTCTTCAACTTCAAATTTTATTTCTTTAGTGTAGCTATTGAATATTTTATTATGCTGTTGATATCGATGATGATATTTTCAGATTGTTATTATCTCCTTTATGTATCTGGCATAAAAAAATTATCCTTTGTATGGTTTTAATTGTTTTATCAATATTTATTATGGTTATTTTAGCTAGTTTTGGCCCCATTATATTTTCCATGCTTTAGTTTGCATGTAATACTTCTGTTACTTTGAAATAGATTTTGCATATAGAAATAATTATCAGGTTTGTGATTTGGCCTATTATGTTCTTCTTGTAATTTAGGTTATATCAGTTGCCAGGTGATTGAGGGTATTTTTTAAGTAAAAAGTAAAGACTAAAGACTACATTGAGGGATACATATTTTTGATGTCAAGACTTGCCATACAATTTTTGATTTCTAGATTTTACTTATTTGCACTAGTAACTGATCACTAATTTTTATTGAACATTTTAATTGTCAGTTATCTAATTGTTTTTAAAATAAGTTTGAGTTATATAATACTGATCTCAAAATATGAGTCTTTATTACTTTCCTAGTTGTAACATATAACAGAGGGAAAGTATGGCAATTGGTTGATAAATGACCCCAAGATTTTTAGATTTTGGAAGCTTGAAATGTTGAGTAATGCAAAAAATATTCAGGAGATTTTTCTGTGTGGGGGACACAATTTTGTTCATTCACTTTGAAGCTTAATAATTCCTGTTCCTGTTTTTTGTTGAAAATTTCTGAAATTTTGCAGGGAGGTTTGTGTATTAGGAGGATCAATGCTATTGAATTTTGGTGGTTAAAGGTCAAGGGAGTGGGGGATACAGGGGATATATGTATCATATCTTGAGTGGGGTTGGACTTAATGAAGATTTTACTCATTATTAGCATTTACAAATTTTTATAAAACCCATCTCTACTCTCAAAATTAAGATTTTTGCTATTTTATAATAATTAATGTAAATAAGTTCAAAATATTATAACAGATGCCACACACAATTTTAAATTCTTTTGCCAGGCACATTATACAACTCGTTGCTGTAATTTTTTTTCTTTGTGTTTGTGTATACTGTATTTAATTTTATGTTCAACATTGATTCTTTAAAGTTACATGGTTTAAGAATAAAGTTTATTGGTTTTTATCTAATACTTTCATTTTGCTTAATTTTTTAATATCTCAAAGGGATGATAAAACAATTTTCATTAAAATAGTTAAAATCTAAATTGAATGACTTAAATATGATCAGAATTAGAATGTTGGTTTTATTTCTTTGGAACTGTATATATTTGCCATGCTGTATATGGCAAATATTTTCATTTGGCTTAATTTGTTACTGTTTCTGCAATTTTCATATATATTAGTGTTTCTCAATCGTGGCGATATCGTCCCCAAGTGGGCATTTTTCCATGTTGAGGGGGCGATTAGAAACAATTTATATTTTGGGGGGCAAAAACAATTTTCTGGGCAATATAGTAAAACATTATATTAACAATAATTAAATATTTTATTCGTTATATCATACAATAAGTAAACAAATAATAATATACCAGTCACTAGTCTATTCGATGCAGTACGAATTTGGCGTTAGCCTCGGCCCTAAGCATCGGAATTTTGAAGTGAAGGGGGCGATACTACGTAACGGTTTTATTGAAGGGGGTGATGATTCATTAGAGGTTAAGAAACACTGACATATACTATGGCATATATATGTAGACTGTTTGTTTTTTTTTACACTCCAATGGTCCATTAAAAAAAAAAAAAAAGACAAATGTAAGTAACAAAATAAATTTATTACCAAAAGTTAGGTACAAACATGGTTACTTTTCAACATAATCACCTTAAAAAGATTGAGGAATTTATCATATCTGTGGACATGCTTTTCCATCCCCTTGTCATAGAATGTTGCCACTAATAACTTTAGATGGGCCCTAATGTCTTTTTGAAGATCGTCATTAGTCTCAAACCTCTGCCGTTTTAGCCACTTTTCCTGTTCATGAAAGAGGTGAAAGTCGCTCAGTGCTAAATTGAGGCTATACACTGGGTGTTTAAAGTTAAAGGTGGTGAAGATTTTCACCTTTCAGACTTCCACCTAGCTTAAAACTTTTTAATGCGTGAAGACTTTCACCTCTTTCCTGAACTGAAAACGTGGCTAGCAGGGCAGAAGTTTGAGACTAATGAACTAATCACAATCTTCAAAACAATGTTGTTAAAGCCATCTCAATTCACTGGTGGCAACATTCTATGACAAAGGGATGGAAAAGCTTGTCCACAGATGACAAATTCTTCAATCTTCACAGTGACTATGTCAAGGTAACCATGTATGTACCTAACTTTTGGTAATAAATTAATTTTGTTATTTACACTTTTTTTTTTTTATGGAACATTAGAACTTGAAAAAAACAGCCTGTTCCAAAAAAATAAAACCAGGAGTATTCTAATTCTGATCATATTTTAAATCATTTGAAGTCATTTTCAATTCAGATTTTAACCATTTCCATGAAAATTGTCATCATCAACCCTTTGAGACTTCACATTTTATAAAAATGATTATTTTTGAAGACCATTTTTAGTATTACACAATTTGAAAGTCTCACTTCAGGATTTATACTATATTATTTATACTAAATTGTAAACAGATTAAAAATAAAAAATCATAGTTTTTCTGTAACCTCAATAAGATATTTTAATTTTATAAAATCAATTTCCTAAGTAAAACTGATTTTAGTTTTACTTAGGAAATTTAGTTTAGTATAAAATTAATAGATATAAACTACTTATTTTTATTATATACTGTAATATACTGTTGATATATTCAGTTTCATTATTTTTCTAGTAATCTAAAATATATTAAATTAATAATTTTTTATATGACTATGGATCGACTTTTGAAACAAATCTTGGTTTTATTTGTAACTTAAATGTTTATTCATTCTTTATTTGTACCCCTATGTCTATTAAATGTCTATCAGCAGATTTTCACTTTTAGAAAATTTGTTTAAATAAATATTAACTGGTGTAAACAATAACAATGCATAGACTTTTTAAATGAAAATATGATAATTTGTTTTATGTTTATAGTAACAATAACTCATTAAATAAATTTGAAACACTAATACAAACTAGAAGTCATTGGGCTGCAATTTGAAAAAATTGTAGACCTATAAAGACCTGTTCATCCGTCTTTCCATCATCTCGAGAACGGAGTTAGATAGACGAAAGACGAGACCAGATAGGGAAAGATTTTGGGCAGGAAACCCCGGTTAACTATATACGAACTTCCGATGTAAACCTAAAGTCACGTTATTTCAATTCAAAAATTTTCCCCTGTAAGGTGTTAGACAGATGACCGGCACGACTCTATTCTTAAAGGAAAAGTATGATGTACGGGGGTAAGCCATTGCTAATTTACGGTTGAGAGGATATATTTTAAATTAAATTAATTAAAAATATGATTGCAATCCGAATATTTGCTCGCTAATTTTTTATCATATTTTTAATGTATTTAATTTAATAAGTGCTCTCCGACTCAAATTAGTACTAGTGTCTTGGTCCTATACATCATACTTTTCCTTTAACAATAAAATCGTGCCTGTTATCTATTAACTGTTTTCAGGGGAAACTTTTTGAATTGAAATAACTTATCTTCTGGTTTGCATTGGAAGTTCCTCTATAGTTAATCGGGGCTTCCCCCCTCTAAGGTTTTATATATATTCTATTTTTTAGTAAATCGTTATTTATCATTATAATGATAATTCATCACAAAATAAATTTCTTTACTGTAAAAATCTGAATTTTCTTTTTCTGTAAATTCAGAAAATCTCTGTTCGAGCTTCTGACGGACGACGCAAATTACAACCCTCCGCCGGAAGACAGACCCGGAGGCTTCAACTGGAACGAATAGAACAGGCCCCGACAATAGCGGCGCAAACTTGGGTCGGGACGGAAGGCGCACCGAATATTTTTCATACCGAATTCGTCACACCGTTAACCATACTTTTGAGTATGTGGGAAATTCAAATTTTTCAATCTTTCGTACCACGTCGTCGAATGTAAAAGTTTCCGTTGAAAATTTATTTATTACATAAAATTGCTTTTAAACAATATCCGAATCGTTTTTATGCCGTCGTAGGGTGGGAGGAGGAGGATTCCTCTACTAATCAAAATTTTCTTTTCGCCATCCACGCACATTCGAATTAAGAAAATTGGAAAAGTTTACGAAATGGCTAATTTATTTTAAACAGAAAACTTCGTAGGTTAATCGAAAACCTTGTTTAAAGTACAGGGTGGGAAAGAGACTCATTTAACACCCCTGCTACAGAATATAGAATGTACAGTACTCAAAAGAACATGCATAACTCTGTAACCGTTCGAGGTAGGTGAATAAAATCTTTCGGAAATCAATTCCTAGTGAAATTCTGACTCTAACGATGTGTCACACGACTCCCTTCCCATTGACAGTTTCGGAGTTGCATTCAATATGATGGCAATGGAGATGGCGGCCACCCGTCGATCTATTTTCCCTTTGGTCTAATGTGTTCCGGACACCAGCGAATTAACTTTGGGTACATTCTATATTCTGTAGCGGGTATGTTATTAAGTGACCTTTCCCAACCCGTATATTTTTTTTCTATACGACGGTGTGGCAATTGCCAGTGATACGACGGTGTCGTCGTCGGTTTATTTAAATCGGCCGTTGTAAATTGATTTTAATTTTGCTGTCGTTTTGTGTAAATTTCGATGGCATTGTTTCGGGAGTCGTCCTGGCCTGCACGGATTAAAGTTTATAGTTATAGTTTTTCATATTATATAGGAATCTGGATTTTAATGACCGCTTGGCTATCGGTTATTGTCGAACTAGATTTTTTTTTCACCGTTATTGGAAGAGATCCAATGTTAATATCCTCTCCGTAAAAATTATTTTTAAATTCTCGACGGCCGGAATTACCGTAAACCGTCGCGGATCGCCCTCTTAGATATAAAGGTAACTCTTCTCTTAACTCCCTTCCGTAATCATTTTATTTACAGCGGATAGTACAGTTGATATATAACACAGATGTATCGGCATTTCCATACTTTAAAATTCGAGTCTGGTCTTAGAGAGGCTTTTTTTTATTTTTTTTAATTATTATTCCATCCAGTTTTTGACAAAATAAAGTGAAGTTTTACAAAAATAAATTATATGGAATATAATTAATTAAAAATATATAATTCACAATCGGCAAATGTGTGAAAAAATTCGGCCTACGTTATTGCAATAGAGAATAGATACATTGGATAATTAAAATTTGTATTCTTTAATATATTTGTACGATTTTAAATATTTATTATATTTTCCAATAATTCCTTTAGTGTTTTTAATTTTTTTTGTTTGTTCTTTTTTTAATTACCGTAATTTCTAGTCTATTAAAATTTAAATTAGTTGATATTTTTGTTTTTTTGTCTGGATCACGATCTCCAATGTGAATTTGGTTATTAATTTACATTTATTTTGCGTTAATTTTATATATAATGACATTGCTGGAATTTTTTTCTTACAGAATAAAATAATCATTAACTAAAAAGTACAATTGCAATTAATTATTTACGATTTGAATTACCCGTGCCTGAAAAAAGAACTTAAATATTTTTATTTTTGCAAATAAAGGCGGAAATTTCACGTAAAACATTATTATTAAACGGGATATTACAGAAAAGATCCAACGGATAATTAATTATTTCGCTTTTGACTCGTTTACGGAACGTCCCATTCATCCTAACTTATCACTAGTCAAGAAATTATATATATAAGATGATTACGTTCGGTCTATTGTGAAGGTAATGTTTAATAAAACGATTGCGCGATTAATATTTATTTACAGACAAGACAAAAAAGAAAAGAATAAATAAGAAAAAAAAGCTGTAGCTTGGCAATGTTGACAACCATACGAAGTAGGTAAGAAGAACATGGAAGGACAGTTGTAATTCTTAGTTCTTATTTGGCTGAGATCCAGGAGTTATTCACAAATGCAACCTGGCATGTTCCTACACGGCGACACCTAAGAAAGGGGTGGGACGATTGTTTTATTTATATATCTCCTCGTCTGGTTCCGAGCACATGACATACGACCGTCGGGAAAGAAAGGTGTGCGAAGCGTTCTACGCTTTTAATCATGCGCGAACAATTATCTCGTTGCGAAAAATGCGTGCATCGCGTCCGAAGCGGTGCGACCTTCGTCATGTCGCATCTGGGATTAGTGGCTGTGGTAGTGGGCTACACGGTCATCGGAGGTTTCGCTTTTCAGGCTTTAGAAGAAGGCAACGAAGAAAGGAAGAGGATGGAAATAATCATGCTGCGAGCCAACGTGGTCGACACACTATGGCTGATTACCACCGACCAAAACAAGGTGCTGAAGATGGAAAACTGGACGGAAAAAGCCAAGGACACGCTGAAAGAGTTCGAAAAAGCCGTGGTGCAGGCCATGAGCTCCGAAGGATACGACGGAAACGACGAAGGTCAGCTGCAGTGGTCGTTTCCTGGTGCTCTCTTCTTCTCCATCATCGTCATCACTACTATAGGTGAGGTGATTTTTAAACGTTTCATTACTTTTCTAATTGCAAATTCCTTCCGAGTTAATATAAAAACTATTTTCGTTCTTTTCGGTTTCTACTCTTCTACAAACCCAACGCTTAGTTTCTTCCAAGTAAAATAATAATTAGGTGTTAGAAATGGCACGCGATATCCCCTCCAAGTGTTCTCATGGTGGAAAGGGGCCAAAAAGAAAGGAACGAAGTTAATTCCTTAAATTTCGATAGGGAGATTTTTGTGCGCCATTCTTCGGGCCGGATACGAAAGTAGGTCTTCCCGTTTCTGTCGTATCGTACGGCAATGTTTTTAAACACGACCTGGCAGACGTTCAAACGCACGTTTCTCCAGCAACGCCGGCTTTTTGTCCGTATAATTAAACACAAATAAGTGTGTAATTACTTAAACCGGGACTGCCGGTAACTCGCGCGCTTCTAATAAACATTATCCGGTACTCGGAAGGCGAAATTCCTCGAAACCGGTACGAGAATTAACGTAGAATTCGTCTGGTGACATTTGGGAAGAGAGATTAGGGAGATGCTAAAGATAAGTCTCCTCTCTTGGCTATTATATAATTAGCCGCGGTATCGAGATCAATTAGAGATTGCCAGGAAAATAATTCGCGCCGGGCAAAATAACAGTCGCCGTTTCCAAAGGGCAAATAAATAGTTTCGTTTCGTAGACGACGTTGTCGTTAATTGGCGCGGAGAAAAAGGGAGCATCCCCCCTCCGAATTCGGGTTCTTTTGTCGGTCGGCTTCATTGAAAGAAACCGGTTAATGGCAATTTCGGTTTAGAATAGGCTATTTTTAGACGGAGTAAACGTATTTGTTCCGAATCAATATTAGTGACACATTTATTTTTATGAGGTTTGTCTCCCTCTTGCCAAATTCAGTTTACTTAACGGGAAACACGTGGACTATAAAGAACTAAATATTGCCAAGATCAACAACGTAGTTTCGATCGGACCCTCGTTCTTTGTTCTGACGATCTTTTGTTTTCGAACTCCGACTCTAAACCCTGTGAAACTAAATTTAACTCGCCACCTCCTTTACCTATTCATTTTTTAATGAAGTGGATAGGCGCTTTTTTAACGTCGTCACTTAACGATTTCTATAAGCTTCGGTTTAAGAAATTATTCGGGTCGTATCTGGTAAAAAATGTGGACCCTTTTAAGCAAAAATCTTTTTGCACCTCGATATTGTAAAGAAGGTAATTTAGGACTGTATTTTATATCGTAAAATGTTTGACGAAGAAACTAATTATCGCCTCCGCGCACTATTTTATGTTTTGAATTTAAAAAACCAAAATTCGTAATCGAGAGGACCGGGTGGATCCTTCCGATTAACCGCAGTTTGGTGGCCAGTTCGCGCCCGATAAAGGTCCTCCGCGCCGAGTTTTCAGAGTTTTTCACGTGCCTAACGCCCAAATAGGGCCCGGTTTTTCCTCGAAAGTCCTCCCCGGATACCACTCCTCGTGTCTCGCCGCCTTCCTTCCAACCAAACCAAATCTTTAAATTACCAGACCCGAGACGATGCCTCATTAGCATAGGCGTAAGATGGATCCCGAAAATAATAGCTTTTTACCTGCCGGTGTCCTCTGTACTTTTTCTGTTGAAAGTTGACTCGACTTTTCTTCTCACCTACTCCAGGATAATCTTTAAAAAATTGGCCTTTCCGGTCTTATTTCCGAGCATTAGCTAGTAAAATGGAGAGGAACGTTACCTAAATTATGCCAGGAAACTATTAAAGTAGTTTTTCATTCGATGTAATAATAGTATGGGGCGTAAGCGACAAATCCCTGTCCATCTTTTCTTAATCTCGAGATAGATGAAAGCAGAGACCAGGTACGAAAAGATTATGGGCAGGAAAACCCCGATTAACTATATACGAACTTCTGAGGCAAACAGGAAGTCACGTTATTTCAAATTCGAAAATTTTTCCCCGAAACCAGTTAATAGATGACCGGCACGACTTTATTGTTAAAGGAAAAGTATGATGTACGGGGGCAAGTCACTACTAATTTGAGGTGGAGAACAAATATTTTAAGTTAAATAAATTAAAAATATATGATTAAAAATTTCAGCCCGGAATTGTGACCATGTCACAATCAATAATTACTCGTTAGTTTTTCGTTTTTGCTAGCGATTAATATTTATACGAAAGACAACGTCTACGCCACTAGTTTTAATAGTAATTGCCACGGAGACGATGTAGAAAACGGGAAGAGACCCCACAAAACGGAGACGTGTTGTATTCGTAATTACGAATAATTTTTAGTAAATTAAAACTCGGTATATTTTGCGGACGGTTAGAAAAACGTGGCCCGACATTATTAAGAATTCTCTAAATAGCGGTCGTTTAGTTAATGTTGGAAGGCATTTCTAAACCGAGAAGTCGATTTCGGCCGAGGCGAAGGCCGTCCGTCCGTCCGTTCGTCCGTTCGTTATCCGTCACGGATCGGAATTAGCCGCAGAATGAGATCAGTCATTCGAAATATCCCTGTTTCTGGTTTTCTGCCAAATGGCCAAAGAAAAAACGAAAACTCGCCAGACGAAATATCCGCCCAGGAATTCGCTGTAGATGGATCTTATATTCGATGTAAGATCGTTCCGACGCGACCAAATTAATAACAAGAGACGAACGCTATCGAGTGTTTTCGATACCCTCCTCCTACAGGAATATTCTTTCTATCGTTTCTGATTTAAAGTTTCGTCTTGTCGTCCTCCAAAGGGAATATCTTCTTTCTCTTTCCTTTGTTTTTAAAGTGTAATCGAATCCCATGTTTAGTGTTCCCTCGAGTCCTTTTTGTCTCTCGACTGTACGAACTGCTCAGTCGTTAAATCTTTGTCGCCCGTTTCGAGCTAACCTCCGGAACTAATTGTTTGCCATAAACCCCGTAACTCGAGCGTAATCGAGAAGAAACTTAGAAGATAAGTTGCGTATGATAAATAAGTACGAAGCGGGCATAACCGAAGCAATTCAAACTTCTGTTTACACGAGTCATAAAGGCCTGGCAACAAAAGGACCTTTGTTAGAGCCTGTTTTTTAGTTTAAGGTATGTTTTGGTTTATCGAATAATAGCCTAATGAATATGGCCGTGTCTTATATACCGTACATCTGTTTGAATGGCCCTTTGCTGCGTTAGTTTGAGACCCCCCGGTGTAAATGAATCGACTGTATTCCTTATATATAAATAAAGATTAATCTTGTTTTTCTGAACGAACCTTCACTTTTTACTTAATACCCTTAGCAATTCTTTATCTCGTATATAAAATTTAATTAATAGATTTGAAAAATATTTAGCTATGGTCACCCATTTTACACGCATTATTTATTCGATTACGGCAACGCGAAGCGTAGGGGCGATCTTCCGAGGGGGAATTCCTTCGGAGAGGTCTTTTATGGGGAAAGTGGCACCTATATTTAGGTGTTACGAGCGTGAAGAAAACCCGGAAAACTTTGCTCTGCTCGGCGCGAAGCCGCAACTCACTATCGGTGTTCGGTGGTTTTATCTACACGGCCACTGGTGGGCCTATTTTGTACCCACCAAAACGATAAATTAGTCAATATTTTCATTTCAAATGTTAAGTACGAAGTAACTTCGAAAGCCTGCTGGGCCTCTGCGATTCGTATGTACGACAAAAAAAATACCACCAGTGGAATCGTTTATCTATGAATTTATATATCGATAACACGTGCGGTATGGCAGTTTTTCTCCCTTTGTCCGGAATGCAGAAATTCAAAACGACGTCTACTGGTTTTACCTCAAAAACAACCGTGACGTGATCGATATCGGAAATAACTTTATGGAAGTAAAATTGTTTGTACATAAATTTATATGCGATTAAAATTCGGAAAACCCAACGGCTGTTTACGTAGATTACGCTGTATATTGATGTGTATATATACTGGAGGTGTGAACGGTCCCTTTACTACTGGTACCATTCTTGCACATCTCTTTGTGTGTGTATATAACTTGTATGTGTACATATATATCAAAATATGTATATATGCATGTATATTAGGTAAAGGATTCTATATTCTATACCGTTGAATATATTCGCATCAAGTTTGTCATGAATATTTGACACCCTAGAAGAAAACACTCCGGGGATTCGACCGCCCCCAAAGCCCGTGCAATTTTTTGCGTTTGGCAGTTTCATTATTTTAAATAATTACTCAGATCAATTAGACTTTCTTGTATCGCGATAGCATTGAGGCGGAGCCGGAAAGAAAGAAGCGATCCTTGCACTTGTTAGCTTCGTTTGTTTACTTATGGCAACGCAACACTTGGGCAATCTGCCTAGGGCGATGCCTTCCGGGAGGTCTTTTTAAGGGAAATTGGGCCCTATTTAGGCGTTACAGACGTGGAAGAAAACCCGAAAAATTCCACGTGGCCAGGCCGTCCGAGCGAGGCGCGACCCCACGACCGAACTCTCAGGGCCGATTGCAGAGACAACGTTTAGAGGCCGACGGCGGGTTTACAGATCGGGTAGACCGCTGTTCAGAAAAATTTCATTGCAGAGACGGCGTTTCTCGCCTTCCACAATGCAGACAGCGATTAGAAACAAGTTATTTGATCTACTTTCTAGACTCCCTCGATAGCAGGTTTAGAGGGCTTTTCAATTCGAGTGGTAGCTTTGTTCGTAGAAAAGTTTAGATAAAAACAGATATCGTTCCTTTGATAAATGCTGTAAACGGTACAAATCGACAAAATTATTCATTAATTAATTGCTCGGAGCAAAAACAAAAAAATTAAATACTTTAAATTTGTTTTAAATGTTCCGATTTCGATATTCAAATGGGTGAAGACTTAAAACTTCAATTAATTTAAATCAGATGCATTTATTTACAATTCGAGTATCGTGTCGGTTATAAAACGTTAATGCATTTCGGAGTCATTTTACTGTTAAACAAACGAGACAATTTTAATAATTACAAAAATCTGTTTATAGATATAAAAAAATGTAATATTAATAATAAAATATTTAAAACTATTCATTTCGATAGTAATAAGATGTCGAAGTAATTCCTTAAAAATCTATTCCGAAGACGAATTTCGAATTCGGTATAAATTTTCTAAATATGGATTTGTTCATATTTTAAACCATATTGGCGACGAAAAAGTTAAAGTTTAGGAATTTAAACATTCCTAAACTTTAATCTGCGTTAAAGTTTAGGAATTTAACCATTGTTACAAATACTCGAATCAATTTTATCTATTTTTTTTTTTTTTTTTTTACGAATATCTAGAGCGCTATCGTGTCGCCATCCATTTTATCATACGGATAGGCCTTTCGGTACATCCGAGAAGTGCAATATATTGAATACAATACGTAATCGTTCGTTTAGACGATAATAATTGACATTTATTTGTATTTTCAGGTTACGGAAACGTTACTCCCAAAACCAAACTAGGTAAAATAGTGACGATTCTGTACGCCATCGTGGGAATACCTCTTCTCCTGTTGTGTCTATCTAGCATAGGAGACATCATGGCTCACAGTTTCAAGTTTATTTATTGGAAAGTTTGTTGTTATTTGTGCATTCAACCCAAAAAGCGGTCCAAACGTCACAGGTTCTCGCCGGAAAGGACTCCCGTCGACGAGTACGAAACAAATCAGAGTGAGAAGTCTCCGCTGGAAACATTCGACAGAAATAATATATTTGGTGACAAGTACGCGCGCGATTACGGTTCTTCTCCGTCCACCCCTACTTCATCTGTGCCTTTAGAATCGTCCAAATTTCCTTCGTCGGCGCAAACCAAGCAGGGCCAGTCCAAGTACGACCTTTATTGCAACCACACCGACGTCAGCGGAGTACCAGTCATTCCCAACAAGTACGTCATCCAAAGCGAAAACGACGCTCAACGGGAATTTCCCGCCTCTTCGTTACTGGACATTCCTCCCACCAAGAGTCCTCCCGACAAATCGAGAGAGTCCGATCAGGGGAGTTGGTCGAAACAGGAGGAGAGGACTGTCAGCGACGACGTCATAGACGACGATTCGGACAGCGAGGTTTCCGAGGCAGAAGTGGAAGAAGTTACTGTTCCCGTGTCCCTGTGCGCGGCGGTGGTCATAGGATACATAGCGGGCGGCAGCGCGTTGTTCATGGAATGGGAGAAGTGGTCGTTCGAAGACAGTTGGTACTTTTGTTTCATCACCTTGACCACTATCGGATTCGGGGATTTCGTTCCCGGAGCTTCGGTCTTGTCTCATAACAAACACCACTTGAGCCTGATACTTTGTTCGCTCTACTTGTTGTTTGGCATGGCCTTGCTGGCCATGTCCTTCAACTTGGTGCAGGAAGAAGTGACCAAATCGTTCAAAGAAATCGGCAAAAGGATCGGGATCCTTTCCGAAGACGATGACGACAATTAGACCAAAGTCTCCATATTTTTAGGACGAAAATTATTCGGAGTTTGTAAAGTATTATTTCCGCGGCCGAAAAAATATTTCTTCTTTACAGCTAGATGGAATTATTTCCGCCAGAATAAAAAATACCAAAAGACGCACCTTGTAAATTCCTAGTTCTTTCCTCGTTATGCCCGATTAAATGCAATTCTAGTACTCGCACTGTCGCTAATCCGGCATAATTACCGATGCCATCGCCTATGCCCTTCCGTTTCCACGAATGTTTCTTTTTACATTATCCACCGTTCTCTCAGCAATTGCAATTAATTATAACACACCTGAATTTTTACCGAGCATGAAATTATTTTATTTCAAACGTTTTCAACCTATTTATTATAGGCCATCCTCAGGCCTACGATTATCGTTCCAAAATAGAACGTAACGTCTTTCGAATAAGTTTCATTTTTAAATTTAAAGATTTAGAATGATTGTGTATATGAAAAAATAAATAAATACAATAAAAATAAAACGGCATAAATAAATAAAACTTGTAATAGTTATATTTAGTCTTGTATACGGCGTTTAAGGGTTTTTAATCACCATGCTTTTTTCTATCATGTACTTTCATGCTGTTGGAAGCTCATTAGCATCCTTGGCATTTAGGCAACGGTTTTTTTTATTTTACTTTTATATATTTCCATCTTTCCATTTCTAATGCAATGGTTGGGGATTGGACTGTTTTAATGATTTTTGCCTCATTCCATTTTACATTCGCTCCTTCAGTCTGCGCCATAATTGCTAAAATGGTGTTGTTGTGTCCTTTATTAACGTTGTATCTGCGTTCTCGCAGACATATTGTTAAGTTTCTTCTGGTTACACCCACATAATCCTTTGCTACTCTTAATTGTTGATTTTCAAATGGTATTTTATACACTCCAGCTTTCTCTTGCATTTTTACTCTGTCTTTATCATTCCTTAGTAAGCTGTAGATGTTGGGTGCTCTTTTATATACCCTTTTTTGCGTTTTTATAAGTACTCAATTCATTCATCACTCCTCCTATATGCTTATTGTATGCAAATTTGTTAATTCCACCTACTTTAGTATCTTTTTTGGTTTTATGTTGTTTGTAACTTTTGACCAGGCCTTCAATTGTGGCGGTTTTGTAGCCTAAATTTGTTGCAATTCTTTTAATTCTACGTAAGACGGTCTTGAACATTGATGCAATATAAGAACACTCTCTTAATAAGTGCCTTAAATGCTGATAACTTGTACTTATATGGATCATTGGACCACGATGATATATATAGAAATACATGATAGAAAAAAGTATGGGGATTAAAAGTCCTTAAAACTAGTAATAGTTATACTTGCCTTGTATACGGTGTTTATTTATTTATGTCATTTTATTTTTGCTGTTATTTATTTATTGCATTTTTTTTTTCTTATACAGTACACAATTATTCTAAATCTTTAAAGTTAAAAATAGAACTTAACGTTTTTCGAATAGATTTCATTTATACGGGTTCAGTAATCCAGCATCTCTGAAAGAAATGGCCGGATTAGCGATTGTCGGTCGTATTAATTTTCAGAATATACGGCTGAACGGTCGAGGTGGCAGCTACAGCTCTGGTGGAACCCTGATCGAATCCAGACAGGTCAGGAATTTTCCGGAATGCTCCCGTCCCTCACCCGACCGCCCCATTGTGGGCCTGGCCGAATGCATAATGGGCTTGCTAAAAGAGGCATTCTTAGTGACCCTTCAGAGCAAAAAAAAAAAATTAAGAATGACGAGGCACTCGAAATTATTTGTTAGAAGAATTTTCAACGCGTGCATTAATTTGGTATTTGTTTAAGCAATATATTTATATTACTTTTTTTTTATTTGTGGTTTTAGGCCCTTTACCTCTCAGAGCAGAAAAAGGCCAGATTTATATTACAGTAGAGCGTCGATTATCCGAAAGTCAATCATCCGAAAGAATTCCTGTCGGCAAATTTAAATTTTCGCCAGTGCTGTGGCGCTGCAATCTTTGTCTTGGGTTACTCAAATATTTTACGTTTTTGATACTAAACTAACTTCTGAAGTATAATTTTTTATTGTTTTTATATTTTTCAATATATTTATTTTGTTTGTACAAAATAAAAAAATAATTTTTAACGATACAATAGTCTTCGTTAGGCTTAACATCGACGAAAATTCAACGCGAAGCGACACGCAACGGAGAAAAATGTCAAGATGGAATAAATTAATATATTTTTTCGTACATAATCGGTTATCCGAAACATCGATCTTCCGAGCAACCCCAGTCCCAATTGATTCGGATAATCGATGCTCTTCTGTACTTTGATGTCTGTAAAGTAAAATTTTTTAAGGAAGCGCTTCGATAAGGAGCAATCGTTGTCGAGAGGGAATATCAAATTATATTTTTGGACTTTATTTCCATTAGATGAGATTTTTTTTAGCCAAATTATTTCTATTTCCAGCGCGGATGAGAGCGTGGGGAAATTTCTAGAAACGCCGCACGGCTGGGCCAAATGCCGCGAAACGTAGATAAAACCTAAAAACGAAAACTTTAAATATGGTTTTTTTGTACATTTGAAAGTCTGCAGTATTCAAATTTTAAAAATCTCTGCCTAGGGTTTTCCAGAAAACAGGCACCTATTTGGGTGTTAGACACGTGAAAAAGATCTGAAAAATTCCTCGTCGTAGTCCTTGATCGGGCGCGAATCCGCGACCACAGCCTCTACATTCTGCTTTAAATTTGAATTTGTGTCGAATTGTAATCTAGAAACAGCTCGGCTGTATGTACAAAGCCACTCATGGTACACCTACGCCTCTATCTGTACAAACCACTGCATTGAGTTCCTGTTTATGGATCTAATACGATCAAAGTTGCATTACTGCCTAGCAGAATGTCGATGGAAGATGCCCAGGAGGTAAGGAATAAAGATTTTCGAAGATTTAGGGAGGGAAGATATCAAGAAAGTGACTAATATAGGTCTTCATCAGCAACTTATCTGATCCAGTCATTAGACAACTAACATCAGAGAGAATACAAACTGAAAAATGAAATTCTCACATTGCTCGAAGTTCCTTTAGTTAGTTGTGGAAGCAGTAGAGAATCTGACGACAGAGAAATAAAGATACTGAAATATCTATCTCAGTCATAATCATGGCCTCCACATCCTACAGCGGGGCCCCCAGACCAGGGTCATTGGGGGTCCCCTTAGTGGTGTGAGGCAAGGAACCTAACTACTCGGCCCCCGAGGCCGTTTTGGGATATAAGGCAGCTAAATGACAAAAAAAAAACAACACTATTTCCATTCACAAATTAAGCACGAATTTACAAAAACATTTATTAGAGACAATAGAGGAATTACATTGACAATTTTACAATGACGAACACTACATTATAAATAACAAAATAGGAACCAACACGATAACTGAAAGAACGAAAGAAATTGAAAAACAGCGTATCAGCAAAACAATTTAATCGATAGTTTGAATTATTTTGCAGTAAATTTTCTGGTTTTTTCCGAAGCAAATTTTTCGATCACGTTACTAAAATTTGTTTGTGCGATTAAATAACAAATGCACAAAATTGCTAGGTTATTTAGTTACTGCTGGCCACTTGAGTTTCTTTGCCACGTCTTCAGTGAATTTGCCAGTTTGCTGAAAGATCTCTCGGCCGAAGAAAGTTACAAAACACCTTAATTGTGAGACTAATATTAGCAAATAAACCCTAAAGTTTTTTTTTTTATCGTAAATCGCACTCCAAATTCCAATTGGACTTTTTTTCAGTGCCGAAAACTCAAAAATATAAGCTGGCCATCTTCGTACCGGGCCTCCTGACTAGAGTCCGGTCAGTCACAACCATGTGGGGACATGGTCATAATGGTATATTTTTTCTTTTTGTGCGTTTTTGTATTCTTGGGTTGTTTTATTATTTATAGGTAGCCCGGAAAAGGTTAATATACACGTTGCCATATGCACATATTGATATACACAAATATAATACTGTATGTACTGTACCAAGCAGGGCCGTTAGCCGCCTGCGTGCTACACATATTTGGCCGCCCCTATCAATGCCGATCGCGAGTAAATTCAAAATGTAAGCCAACCCACGGGAACCTAATGGTATACTTTATGACAGTTTCAAATCGTTGATAGGGACAAAAAATCCATAAAAATATTTAATGTATATTAATTTTTATTCAAATCAAGTCTTCTCTGTAGATAACAGGCGCTTTGGTTCAAAGTTATATTTTAGCGTCGCTGTAAAATATAATTTTCAAATTAAAATTAAATTAAATTTAGTATATAGATATAATATACAGTGTGTGTATATAAAAATTCATTTAAATTAATAACTTTGGTGCCATCTGTTCTGTTTATTTAAATTTCCTTTTGGTCCCGTCAACACACAAAACAATGGTACAAGTATCACTTTATGATTAGAGGTACGGGAATAAAAGTGCATTCGCAATGAAAATTAAGTATAAACACAACCTTATTTAATGCAACTGTTCACAATGAGTTACGCAAGTTTAAGCTTAAATTAAACTTAACCATAACACACGTCTCAGTGAAACGTTTCAGAACTTCTAAGAGGGGTAGGGTGCATCTCGACAACTCGGAATCATAGAGTTATGTGGGGTCGGAAATGCTTTCCTGACGCGGTAGATGGAGTTGTAGACTTCACATTTGGCCAACAGTGAGTGGACAGGACGTGGTCTCGTGCGTTGGCCTGCTCGGTCACCAGACCTATCATGTCTTGATTTTTATTTCTGGGGGCATATGAAAACACTGGTTTATGACATTTCCGTTGACAATGCTGAGGAGCTGATTGCAAGAATCGCAGTAGCTGACGGAGAAATTCGAGATGAGCCTGGATTATTCCAGAATATTCGAAATTCCACGCGCCGTAGATGTGAGGTCTGCATTGCAGTCAGTGGAAGAAACTTCGAACACTTTCTTTGGCCCATGTTCCTTTTGATTTTGTACATTTATTATTAAAACGAATATTCACTTACGGTCTTCTTTATAATGTTTCTGTGTACATCACCGCTTCAGGAAAGCATTTCCGACCTTGCATTGCTATATGATTCCGAGTCGTCGGAATGCATCTTACCCCTCTTAGAAGTTCTGAAACGTTTAACTGAGACACCCTGTATATATAATAATAATTTGTTAGTGTTAATATTAATGCCAACATAAATAAATAGCTTGGAGTTTGTAAACTTTTAAAATTTGATTTAAATCAAGAAACAATCGTTGTCATGGAATTCCCACAGTTGAATTCACAGTCTGGTTCAACGGATGAATTCCCACCACCTCTTGCTCACAAGTTTTCTGATGCTAAACACCTAACATATATGATTCATAAAATTTACAGCTATACAGTCGACCCCCCTATAACGTACGTTCCTATAACGACAATTCCTATAACGTAGCGAAAAAATTGTAGAAACTTTCGTATAAAGTACCTCCTATAACGTCGTTTCACGACAAGATTGATAGAGTCTGGACCAATAGTGGATGAGCAGCCGAACTACTTACCTCTGACCCTGCGCCACGCTACGGAGCGGCTAAATTGAGTTTGCTATCGTCTGTTTAGTATTATATATAAATTATATATAAATTAGGTACTGTACATATAATTATATATTAATTATATATAAATTAGCTACTGTATATATAATTATATATTAACTTAATTTATTGTAAGTTTATTATAATTATATATATGCTTTCTGCCGCCTGGCAACACGCTACGGAGATTTTAGGCTAGTAAGTTGAGTTTATTATCGTCTGCACAGTATGTAAATTAGGTACCGTAAGTCTAATACAGCACTAATTTTATACATTTCTTGTGAAAGAAACACTTCTTATTCAACGGCCATAAAAATTATTTATATTAATGATGTCTCCAAAGGTCAAGTTATTTTTCTGCGAAAAATTCGTTATCAGAAATCGCGGCCGCCGTTTCGTGTGCTGTTCCGCGACGAAGACAAGCTTTGAACAACGGGCGTAGTCGAACGGTACACACTCGGTAAGTAATCCTATAATTTTTTGTTTATAGCATAGTTTATACGGATTACTCCCAAAAAATTATACGTGTTTTGGAAATGTTGAGTCGAATTAGTCTAGAATCGGTTAATTTTATAGAAGAAAACCTTTCAAACAGCCTTAGTCCGTAAAGTTCCCACCTATCGGGCTGCGATTGGCTCATGTATTTAATCATTCCTACAACGTAATTTTCGGTTAGCGTGGAACGTATCTAAGCGTTATAGGGGGGGTCTACTGTACTATATAATCAGTCGTCATGCAAACATCAATCTATTTCAACGCCGACCACTATATTAAAATTATTAATGTATTAAATTATATTTGAATTTTATTTTTTAAAGTGCACTATCGGCCGTTCTAGGAGTTTGGTCGCCTGCGTGCATGCAAGCACTGCGCACCTACTAGAACCGGCCCTGTTATCAAGAAGTTTACCCCAAATTGTTAGCGGATAGATGTCGAATCCCAGCGATAATCCAGACATTAGGGTATTTGTATTTGTGTACCGAATGCCATCTCGGTGGCTCGCGTGCAGTGACAGAGAGGCAGGAAGAAAGGAGACCATCTGTGGTACAAGTGTCGCATTCCAATATGTCGGACCTACACGTGGCGATCGAATTTTGCGTGACATTGGAAAAATGACACAGAAATATAAAACTTTTTGAAAGAGACCACAAAAATGGTAGGACAAAACGCGGTTTCTTACAAAGCCATTGTAAGAAACCATGTTCGGAGGAGGATGTTCGACCAATGGGTACCAATGGGTCCCATTGGTCGAACATCCTCCGTATTCGGTAATTTGGTCCCTCTGATCCTTTCCCGAAACTGAAAATAGTGTCGAAGGGAAAAACTTTCGAGGATGTGGAATCCATACAAGAAAATGCGACCAGAACTCTCAGAAATTATTATTCTTAAAATATTATTTAAACTGCCAAACACGATTTTTGGCAGCTTCATAAACGCTGGAAAAGTGTGTTATATCTCAAGGAGATATAATCAGGACGTGGTCTCGTGCGTTGGCCTGCTCGGTCACCAGACCTATCATGTCTTGATTTTTATTTCTGGGGGCATATGAAAACACTGGTTTATGACATTTCCGTTGACAATGCTGAGGAGCTGATTGCAAGAATCGCAGTAGCTGACGGAGAAATTCGAGATGAGCCTGGATTATTCCAGAATATTCGAAATTCCACGCGCCGTAGATGTGAGGTCTGCATTGCAGTCAGTGGAAGAAACTTCGAACACTTTCTTTGGCCCATGTTCCTTTTGATTTTGTACATTTATTATTAAAACGAATATTCACTTACGGTCTTCTTTATAATGTTTCTGTGTACATCACCGCTTCAGGAAAGCATTTCCGACCTTGCATTGCTATATGATTCCGAGTCGTCGGAATGCATCTTACCCCTCTTAGAAGTTCTGAAACGTTTAACTGAGACACCCTGTATATATAATAATAATTTGTTAGTGTTAATATTAATGCCAACATAAATAAATAGCTTGGAGTTTGTAAACTTTTAAAATTTGATTTAAATCAAGAAACAATCGTTGTCATGGAATTCCCACAGTTGAATTCACAGTCTGGTTCAACGGATGAATTCCCACCACCTCTTGCTCACAAGTTTTCTGATGCTAAACACCTAACATATATGATTCATAAAATTTACAGCTATACAGTCGACCCCCCTATAACGTACGTTCCTATAACGACAATTCCTATAACGTAGCGAAAAAATTGTAGAAACTTTCGTATAAAGTACCTCCTATAACGTCGTTTCACGACAAGATTGATAGAGTCTGGACCAATAGTGGATGAGCAGCCGAACTACTTACCTCTGACCCTGCGCCACGCTACGGAGCGGCTAAATTGAGTTTGCTATCGTCTGTTTAGTATTATATATAAATTATATATAAATTAGGTACTGTACATATAATTATATATTAATTATATATAAATTAGCTACTGTATATATAATTATATATTAACTTAATTTATTGTAAGTTTATTATAATTATATATATGCTTTCTGCCGCCTGGCAACACGCTACGGAGATTT